ACAATGACAATGACAATGACAACAACACCCACCACCACCACCAACAACAACAACACCCTAGTTAAAGAAAACCAAAGACATAACTCGGGCCCGCTGTTGCACACGCACAAGAGTCAATAACTACGTCGTAAATCATCTTATCATATGTACAACCAACACGCACAATGCCTTTCATTGCATTCAAATCGCCTGCGAGCATGGCTGCGTGCTCTGGACCACCTAGGCCATTGCGTTGCGGATGTTCGGGTTGGCTATGCCAGCATGCCATTCCCTGTGTGGCGGCGGAGGCGCCTGCAATTGTTCCTACCTACTGGCTCCTGTGTGTCACAGAACTCAAATCGAAGAGGCAGGCACGATGGCACGATGGGTGTTTCGGCCGTTTAGGCTACGTCTAGTGGCTAGTAGTTTACACGACCGGCTAAAATACAGCGGTTTCACGAGACTGACCTTGCCGATCACTTTCACGGTTGCATCCCCATAAAATCACAATTCCTGGGACCGTGACCTGGCATTAGCAAGCTCTGCATTGCTGCCTCGCGACAGGGGCTGCTCCCCTACGGGTGTGCTTGCTCGGGCAGCTGGAGGATGCATAGTCTGAGACAAGCGAGACTGGCTGCAAAAGCACAGCCGATGTGCCTCTTGCTGCGTCTGCTGCTCAACTGGGTCCTGAAGATCGCTGCGTCTGAACCGTTGACACACACATCTTCCAAAGGGTAACAGAAGCATCTTCGCCTTGATGCAAAGTCAACGCAGCCACTTGCAGCGAAGTGTGGCACCAACTGCGGCCTCCAGCAGAGCAGCTGCCATGCCCGCACCGGCGGCCGCCAGGACCGCCTGCGCGTCGTCCTGTGTGTGGCAGAAACGGGCCGCTCTTGCCTACATAATACCAAGGATCCTTCGCTTTTGGCACAAGGGCCGAGATTCAGCATGATAAGGCGAGCCTCCGTCCTTATGTTGCTGCAGGTATCTGCTGGACCGTGCATGTCATGCAAGACAACGCAAATTTACTCTAGCACCTCAAGCACTGTTGGCTCGGATCTGGCGTCCTGAGGCTGCTTCGTTTGTCTCAGAGGCTGCAGTGGTCTGACCTGCACATATTATCGAGATTGGGGCTAAACTAGCAGCAGACACTTCATTCAGAATGATAGGAGACGTTCACAGGATAACATCTCAAAGCCTCTGCTTCTTTCAGCCAATGGCCTCCATGGCGATGGGCGGAGCCTGGCAGGCCATTGGCTGCGGTGGGCAAGCCATGGCCTGTGCCTCCGAGATGCTCCGACTCTTCAACTCTCTACATACATTTCTACAACGCAAATCTATCTCTCTTTGGGCTGTTGGATGCTGTTGGCAAGAATTCCTGCACGGAGCTTATCCGCTCAAAAAAAACCGGGAAGTTGATAGCAGCCCTTCGCTCACCTGCATGGGCGGCCCGGGACTGGGCGTGCTGAGCAGCGGCCATTGGCCTACCGTCTTGCAGGTGGGGCGCATCGCTCAGGCTAACAGTTTGCCACTCCTATGCTGATGCCTTCATGCAAAGAAACCTCCGCATTGCAAGACCCTCCCTCCATCTAAATTACTTCGGCTGCAGAGCGGAGGTTATGGCAGCTCTCTCGCGCCCCGGAGCCTGTGCCAGTCGGGCTGTCAATGTAGGGCGCCGGGGCCTGCCATCGTAGGAAAACTCGCACCTTCTACTCGGATCCAGCGTCCTACAGAGGCGCCACAGTGCAGAGATCGATAACGCGCAGAAGAGTGCTCAAGAACGTTCTGGATTCAGCGACTTTGCGTGTCCAGAAAATGACAAGAAGGCCTCGTCCCATGCCCGGGGTGCAACGGCAACGTCCACGGACATGAAGGCTCCCTGCAGAAGGACAGCATCGAGCCAGAGCCCCGGGATCATAATCTCAGAACGTAGTACAGAAGCATATCATGTAGCTTGATGCACGTATTGCACACTACTCTGTGTTTCTATGTTCTACTGCCTAGCTGCTATGCTATGCCTTGCTGTTGTACTCGCGGCATGCTGCAGGCTCGACAAGGGTATGCAAGCTGAAAGCCGAAAACGAAGCCGCCTCGTTCCATCGGCTGCTCTCACCTGCACGAGTCCCGATTGCACATGGAATCGACACAGCATGCTTCTAGCTTGAAAGGTCCGAGGGTCCGCAGCGTCTGCACAGCCGGCAAAGTGCGTGAGTCTTGCAGGGTCTTCTTAGATGTGCAAGCAGATCAAACTTGTCGGAGGCCTTGCAGGTCCATCTCATTCAGCTTGAACCCAGTGCTTGGTGCCACATCCGAGCCGATGTGTCCGACCTGGATGCAGAGACACACGCACGCACACACACACACACACATACATGTCCATGCAGCAAAGACACGCATGGCTCAGACACTTGCTGCAGAATTCAATATGAGTTCTATACGTCAACGATGGAAACACGATTTGCTGCTTGCCAGTTTCATTCATGATCCATGCAGCTGTAAGAACATGGTGCTTCAGTAATCCCTCCGACCCAAAAGAAGCCCTTGCAAAGCCTTGCAACCAGCAAATTCCTTACAGAACGGTGTCTTCTTCAGACACTCCGCAATCTTAGGGGGAAGTAATACCACACGAGCGCTGCTTGGCTGTAGCGGTGGCTCAGCGCCAGCTTCGGCCTCGTCGTTCCAGCCGCCCTGGCTATAGCTATAACCTGGCAGAATATCTCGGCGGCTCAGTTCTGAGAAAAAGACATGGCATAAAGTCTGCATAGACATGATCTGAGCATCACCGTGGCTGCCCTCCTGCCATCCTTCTAGAATCTTCTGGACGAATGATAAGTCCGAGCTATGTTTCAACATGGTACCGCATGCTACGCCACAGATGCGACACCATTCTGCCTGAGGAGTCCTGGAAGTACCCGCTGCCTGCGCTCCATGCCCAAATGTTACCACGAGTGCTACTGAGCATGACCCACGATAGGTCTGTCGAGGATTGGATGCTGTGGTTCCCGAAGCATGTTGGCACACGAGATCTGACATTATCTGACGATCGAGCTTTCTTTGCTTCCGGGGGCGCCAATCGCATTACAGGCTAATTCAGCCCAATTTGCGTAGTCTTGCAAGCAGGCTCAAAAACAAAACCTCAACCAGCCTGTCTCCAGCATGTAGGCCGAAGCTGCTGTTGACGCTTCGGAATGGCCCGAGGCCGCGGAGAGGAAGCGCTTCGGACCCTCTCGTGTGACCTCGCGTGCTTGGATGTTCTACTTGCTGCATGATCTGACCGGCTGTCGGTGTACAATCGACTCCCACCTTTCAATGAACGATGCGGACGAATGCAAAGTACCTACAGTCACCGACGGGACACCTTTTCGAATCCCCGCCTCGAAGAAAAGCTCCAGCGTCGCTAACGCATCACTGCCCGCTGTGTGCGGCATTCCACAGCGCTCCACTCCTCAGGAGTTGCTGCTACGAGTACGGTGATGCCCACCAGACTGGGGCTATTGGTTGCAAAATGCATGGGGCAGGGGGCCATGCCGGACACAGGCCGTGCTCTCGTCTTTTTAAGAGTCTAGGCCCTAGGCCTCAGGACGCTCCGGTTCGTCGTCCGCACTAGGGCCCGTGCCAAAGTCGCGGAGAAGGCTGTCGAGGGACCCTCGCGGGAGCTCATCTCGAAGCCTTGGCGAGCCAGGTGCGTTTAGAAGCTTTAAACTGGTCGTACTGCGACATTGCCTCGAGATGCCTCGAGCCGGCAGGGAAACGAAGAATAGTCCCTCAAGCCCAACATGTAACGGTCACACATGGCATGCTTCTGTCCCCACGAAATCTGCGGACCCAACTCATAGCGATCAGTGAAGAAGCTGCTACGAAGCTCCTGCCGTGCCAGAGGCTGTTACTTGTCAAAATGCAAATTGGGGTGCCGACTACAAGTATTAAGAATACACCCTTAAGATCCTTTGAGCACCCATCAGCTGAGTGACAACAGCTTAAGCCTAAGCTAAATATCAGACAAGTATTTGTCGACCCAAGCTGCGAAGCCCCCAACATGTGTGTCCTCGAAAGCAGTATAGTCCGGAGGCAGTCGACGATGGGTCAAAAGTCGGAGCATGTACCTGCATTGCTCCAGCTGGGATTCCAGTGCAGTGTCATGCTGCCCAAAGGCCCCACAGGCTGTTGGCGTGCATGTGATAATTGCTGTGGGGTCAGGGGGAGAGGAGGCGGCTTGCAGATTCGGCCTGGGTTATGCAACAGACCAGCGTTGATGTCCTCTAAGCTCGCGACCCGAAGTCGTACCATCCCTGGAAAGTGACCCAGCGGTGCTTGCAGCCCTGCTGACCTCCACAAGACGAGCGACACTCAACAAGGACTGAGTGATTGCTACAGAGTGCTCTCTGCTTTTAAACGCAAACTCTGCCGAAGTTGCCTGTGGAACGAACCCGTAAATCCGAAACCATCCGCCTACCAGCGGTGAGGCTCGGAGCTTTCTTCCGATTTTAGCCTCAGGACGACTATGAAAGCCAGTGCATGCTGGACAATGGCAAGTCATAGGCAAGCATTGTGGCTCGATTCCCAACGCGAGCCCTAAATCCAAAGTACGCACAGTATAATCCCCAAGCCCTCATCCCGAAACCCCCAAACCCCAATCCCAAAGCCCAGCTAGTCAGCTAGTCTTCACCCATGGGAACCCTCCAGTCCAGGCCCTCGGCAGGGTCAATGCCCTCTGCAGCGTGGCGCGGGAAGTCCAAACCCGCAGCCGTCAGGAAGGCGACGGATGCCTCCCACACTGCCCTCCACATGGTATACATCCAAAGCATGTGTATATATATATATATACACACACACACATACATAGTATATATATATATATATATATATCCGCCGACCCCGTTGGGGCGGCG